CTCAGCAGTACAAATGCTAAAAGTTTAGGAGCGACTAGGCTCCTCATCCAACTCCAGCTGCTAATAGTTTTCTTAATAAAACGACTCTTATTAAAGCTTAGGGTCCCCGTCCAGTCAAGAAGACCCTCATACATCAGTGCTAGACCCCAGCAAATTGCAACCAAGCTTCAGGACCATGAGCAGGACTCTCATCCTCAGTCAATTCCTCTTCGGTGAGCAAGGGATGCCCTAGGTCCTTTCAGGTGCGAGGATTACGAGAGCTAAGGAAGCGGACTGCTAGGCAAAGCAGCGAGCACCAGAGTGAAGCTGGCTGCAAAAATAAGACTGGGGAGCCGTCGGGGATCCCCAACCCTGAAGCAGGAGGGACAGCATGGAAGGAACATGGTAGCCTACTAGAGGACTCAGTTCATTCTGGGCAGACCAAGGGCAAGTGGGGCTGATTCGGGCTGCTGAGTCATGTCAACCCAGAGGACACAGCATCACTTTCCAGCCCAGCTAAGGTACAAGTGAGTTCACAGTTGGCTTGGGACGTGACTGCTGGGCTCCTAGGCGTGGGACATGACTGCTGATCTCCTAGGCTTGGTCCCATAGAGTGGGTTACCATATCCCATGTAGCACAAAACATTCCATAATGACTGCTCGTGATGATGCATATTTGGATGCATTTAATATGTACTTGTGAGAGTGGCCAGGTTATCCTTCTAAAATATGTATAGGCGAATTAGACATACCACTCAAGGGGAGCTATGATATTTTTTTCTTCCTCCTGTTCTCCCTTCTCCTCCTCCTCCTCCTCCTTCTTCCCTTTTCTTTGTTAAAGTATGTATTCTGGATATTTAAGGCAGACTTTCCCAGACTTAAGAATTTCGTAAAGTGTTATGAATTTCCAAATTCAACAAAGCAGGTTTTTGTACTGCAGGGCTACCTAGAGCCCCATGGGTCACCAAGGAGGGGAATGCAGAATCTGCGACTGTGGAGTGCTTTGGGAAAAGCCTTAGTGACTACCTTGCCCGGGGATGGGGGAGATGATGCTGAAAGCCAGTGTCTTCGCCCATTGAGTCCTTCTGGTTTAGGGCAGTTGAATGGAGAGGAGGCTTGAGAAGTGTTCTCATTGCGGCCAGGAAGCACCGTACACTGAGCACTGGCCAGGGATCTCTCAGAGCCACAAGAAAAGCTTGCATCCCACAAACCCTCTTCCAGAGCCGTGCTTGTCTGTGAAGAGGGTTGTTTGGCTATCTTCTGACCTCAGACCCAAACTCCAACCCCAGTGAAGACAGCGAGAAAAGCAAGACAACTAGGAGCAATATGTGCAGAGAAGGCTACTCCGGACCCCTTTATCTAGTAAGGTGCCCAATATTAACACCATGTTCGATTTATTTTTATTCAAATCAGATAACAAAGCACCCATATAGGCAATGAAAGTTTTGTAATGTTTTTGCCAAACAAACTCAAGGAAAATATAGTAGAGTTAACAGAAATCCATGCAGCTCTCCCTTGCTGGTCCTAGAACCCTCAGTCTAGGAGCTGTGAGAGGAAGTTAGGACTTCTTCACAAGGGCAGGACCTGAATTTTGCTCATCCGTCACTTGCATTTCTTCTCATCACCACTTTGTGGCGCTGTTGACAGTCACTTCTACCGGGTCTGATCCTCATAGATCTTAGAGGCTTGTTTGTGTGGGTTGTTGTTTTCCTTTCTTTTATTTTTCCCTAAACTCGGGCAAAGGGGTTTCTCATCATGTTCTCAGGGGTGAATTCATGATGTTCAGCTCCAAGAACTCCACGCCCCACCACTAGCAAAACATCTCCCCAAGAGTGATCAAAGTGACCCCTCTTAGCAGAAGCTAAATACTAGGTCTATAACTTTAATTTACGGTGGGGCATCCCTCCGACAGGAAATCTAACTTAATAAGATCCTTTGTTATGTCAGTGCGAACCTTTTTGATCCCCTGCGGGATGCCGAGTCACCAAGAGAACTATCACGTAAGAACAGGAAGCTGAGTATGGCGGAAGCATTTATTAGTTCATGATTCCTAACCGCAGTGCCTTGAAGTGACTTAACCTTCATGCACCTCTATTTATGCACTTCCAAAAATAAGTAATATTAGCCACCTCCCAAGAATGGTGTGAGCACTCAAAAACATTCCAGAGGAGCACTTAGAACAGCGCCTTCCACAGCATAAGCCGTAATAGCTGAAGCCAGCATTATTGTACAACAAGTCTGCTGACTGGAGTGAGCCTTACTTGCAGAAGGCTCTTAGGAAGCTATCAGGCCATCTAACGGTCACAGGCGATGCTGGGTCTCAGTTTCTAATGTGGGGTAAGAATTGCTATGGGAAGACCCCGTCCACTACAGCTGCCTCCTCACCGTGCTCCCTGGCAGCTTCTCTATCTTTTCCCAACAGTAGAGATAGAACTGACCCTGAACTGCATGGGCCCACGTGAGGTTTCTCATGTGAGTCATTTTCTGAATAGCTTTATGAAAAAACAAATGTTGATACATGGGCTATTTATTTTACAAATAAGGTCTGACTGTTACATCAACATGAGAGGTTGTGTTCTTAAAACTGTCATTAACATAAATAAACTTCCTCCCTCTAGCAGATCAAATATAAACAATCAAGTCTAGATCCCAAATTTTCAAAGAAACAGAACAATACTGGCAATTATCTAAAGCAATCTTTATGTGCCCAGCACTGAGTGAGGGACTTCACCTTTAAAAGGAAAGGCCTAGTCCCATCCATTGAGGCTCATGACCTGAGTAAAGTCTCAGATACTCAGTCCTGACAGCTCAGGCTGGGAACTGGAAAGCTCGGGCAGTGTGGGCAAAAGCCGTATTTGAACTCCCTCAAAGCTAGCAAAGCAGAGAGGTTTTCGGAGGGCCCCACAGCTGGAGTGTTAGCCAAAGTGTGAATCAGGACCAAGCAAAGGATGTCGGGAGATTACCCTAACAAAGTCAAGCGCCTGTCAGAGAAGAAATGTTTTCTAGAGTGTTCCTCTACGACCAGTGGGGGAACTCTGGGGATGCTGTTCACAACAGCGGGGAGATAGAAATTTTGGTTCCCATGTCTTCTACATCAGTTTCCACTCCAGAGCAAGCGTGAGTCTCTGTGAGGCTTTGGGTCCTGGTTGGTTCATCGTTCTCAGCCAGCATGGAGGAAAATGCAAACTGCGGATAGACTCGAGGCCTGCAAAAAGGGTAAAAGTGGGAGGGCACAGAAAACACTCAGTAACCTGAGATTGCCACCAGTTCTCACCAGGGAGAGGACTGGCTCTTTTCTGTCACACGAAGAAGGTGTGACCACTGCCAAGGCCTCAGGATCCCCACCCCCCTCAATGCAGCCTGCTCACTCAGCCGTTCAGTAAACGCTAAACCTCTTCCTCAAAGGGAGAATAAGCAACAGAGCGACAAGAGGTACAAGAACTTTACACACTGTGGACACACATGAGATCAGGGAACAGGATCAGAGAGGCTGCCTAGAAAAAAAAAATGGAAGAACATATAACTTGAATTTGATAAGCACAGCTGATAGAACCTGGTGGCTCTTAAACCCATCACAGACCAATTATTTCCAAAATAACAGCTTTCTAAAACCTGGGAAGGGCTACCTGTAATTACGCCCCGCCCTGGCAAACCCAGTTTTTGGCCTAATCCTCTTTCTTGGTTATTCAGCCAGGATTTATAGAACATTTATTACGGGGCTTGGCTACAAGAAAAAGAAGACACCCTGTTCAGTGCCACAAAGGATAAAACCAAGAGGGTGGGAGATGGTATAGCCTCGACCTGATGAGACTTGGGACAGGGAAGGAGCAGGTGGCAGTCTTTGACAGGCAACTTTGAAAGTGCTAACAACACTTGAGCCTTTGTAAGCAGCCTTTGTCTTTCATTCACCATAGAGACTTCTGTGATAACTTGAGGTAGCTGTTGCCACTCCTTCTACTAGATCAATAGGCTTCTTTAAGACATTTTATGATTTTTTTTTATCCTGCCTCCATGTGTGGGTGTGTGCACGTGAGCACAGGTGCCCATGGAGGCAAAGGGTAGTGGATCCTCTGTGGCTGGAACTACAGACAGTTGTGAGGCCCCGCTATGGCCGCTGGAAACCCAGTCCTCTGCAGGAGCAATGCCTGCTCTTGAACACGGAGCCATCTCTCTAGCCCCCCAGTAGGCTTTTCTTCCGCCACTTTTAGATGTAAGGCCCTGGAAAGTATCAGTAATGAGATGGTCTGCATTCTCAAAGGACATGGCCACCGATATCAGCCAGGCCAGGCACAGGATGCTTCGGGATAAGTGTTTTCTCTTTTGGTTCTCTTCTCTTAGGAACTGTCAAGGGTGTTTTCTGTCTCTCCAAATACGGAAATCGGGCAAGGATGCCACCTGACCATTGAGGGGTGAATGGCAAGATTTGATCTCTGAACAACACCTCCCCAAAGCCGCACTCTCTTCCCTTCTGATCATTTCTGGAGTCAGGAATGCCACAAAGGCCTTTCCTTATTGATATGTTCACTCTTCTTAATTTTAGTGAAATTCTGGGACCTCTTCTTCAGAGCTGATGCACTCGCTGCCCTCACCCCTTCCCTGCAGCGTGGCGATCCTGCAACAAGAACCAGTGAAGAGCTAGAACTGGGCACTGGGGGGACCTGGTCGTAGAGCCTCGCAGCTAGCGCCGGGGGCAGGTGCTGGGCTGCAGGAAGAGGCAAGATTTGCAGATCACGAGGGCCAGGGAAGCGGACAAGAGTCCTCAGATTACTCAATACATGGCACCGCAAGCAAGAAGGCAGCAGGTACCTGCTGAGCCTCTGCAAGGCGCCGCGCTTGTCCAGAGCTATGACTCACTTTAAGAAGTCCATGCCAACCCAAAAGAGCAAAATGAAGCCTTAGCATCTCGCCGACACCCCAGAGCTGCTAGCGATGTGACTTGTTGCCGTAGTCAGGTCCACACAGAGCCCAAACAGAAGTCATTCGGTGAGGGCTTCACTCTGGGTCCAGCTCCACTGGACGCAATGAACAGTAACTTCTGTCGGGCCCTTGTGGACTGCGGGGCTCCCAGCGGCATGCAGTTGGGTGTCGTGGCCCCTGCTGGACAGACGCCGCTGGCAGCCACCGAGCCCCTGGGCAACGTGCCCTTCTTACTGTACCCGGGCCACGCCGAGCCGCCTTACTACGACGCCTACGCTGGGGTATTCCCCTACGTGCCCTTCCCCGGCGCCTTTGGGGTCTACGACTACCCGTTCGAGCCCGCCTTCATCCAGAAGCGCAATGAACGTGAGCGGCAGCGCGTAAAGTGCGTGAATGAGGGCTACGCGCGCCTCCGCGGCCACCTCCCCGGAGCCCTGGCGGAGAAGCGGCTCAGCAAAGTGGAGACCCTGCGCGCCGCCATCCGTTACATCAAATACCTGCAGGAGCTGCTGAGAGCCGCCCCCGACGGCGGTGATCCACCGGCTGCCACCTCCCCGCCACCCGTCCGCACCGGCCAGGGCAACTCGCCGCAGCCCCCCTTCCGGGTGACGGAGTCCAGTGGGTCCTCCCCTTTCTCCCCCTCGCCCTTCTTGGAGTCCGAGGAACCCAGTCTTTGATCAGGCCAGAGGCCTCGACTTGTCCCTCTAGGAATCAGTATGGGGGTTTCTGGGTCATCTGTGCCGGACAGGATAGTGATGTTCAAGGTCTGTGCTCCCATCTCCACCCACTTGGGCCAAATGTTCAGGCCCCTAGTAGAAACCGCGAGATGCGGATCCTTAGAGGTGGTGAGTGCGGTGAGGAGCGGAGTCCAGTACAGCTCCCGGACCTGATTGCTGCTTGGCCTCAGCATGACTCTGTTGTCCCCCTACAGCAGCAAGTCGCCTGAAAGCCAGCCGCACTTTGACTACTATGTGTCATGCCTGAGTCTTCCACAAGATGGCCTCAGATACTAGCGGGGAGCTTGATGGTCTCTAGACAGAAGGAATTCCAGAGGGAGGGAGGCCGGGCAGCTGTTTGAATTCAGCACCCTGGAACTGACAGACTTGAGAGAAGGGTGTGTGTGTGTGTGTGTGTGTGTGTGTGTGTGTGTGTGTGTGTCTCGCGCACTTCTGTCGCTGGTGCTAGTTGACTTTCTTGACAACAAGTGATCACCTCCCCTTTCCCACCTTTCCTCATAGTCTTCTGGTCTATTCCCAGGTTTCATCCCTCCCCAGCCCCCAAGACTTGTAAGCTTCTAGGGTCCGTTGACACTGTGTTTACATCAAGGACTAAAATAAAGGGACTGTTGTGTTTTGTGATTCCTGAATTATTGTCTCTGCCCACCCTCCACCTTGTTGGTCTTCTCCATTTGATTCCCCCGCCCAGAATACTTGCTGCAAAGGTGTGCTGGGTAGTTGCTAGCTCACGCAATCAACTAATATTTCCAGACAGCTTAATGAATGCTGAGACTTCGTGTTAGGGGGTCAGGGCTCCAGAGAGAAAGCACACAGACCTCGTATAATGAGGGACATGAGGGGCGGGGGCCATGTGAGAGCCGTGTACATTCAACGTTGCCTGGGAGGCTTTCACTTCAGTGGGCTCCATTTCTGACAGGAGAAGGCATGGTGGTCCTAGACTCATCCTGACAGATACTGAGACTGTAACGGATGGAGATATGCTGAGCTAGGCTACCACCCAGCACCTTCTCCGGATAGAGCCATGGAGCTGGGGTGGGGAGGAATTTAATCTCTGCATGAGGGACCTGTCTGATTTGTGACTCCACCCACAGGCTCCTCTTCCTGAACCCCGTTGCCCAGCTCCAAAGATTTCCTATCTCCCACTGCCCCTGCCCCATCTCGGGCCTGAGTGTAAGTCACCCCTTTATACCCAGTCCTTGCCCTCCTTGGGGGAAGTTTGAGATGTCACTGGCTGGACTAGAAGGAATGACAGCTGCCTGGCCTCAGGAGTTTGGGCTGGGCAGCACGGGCTAATTTTACTCACTGGGAGCAGAGAGAGTAATCCTCCCACCCCCACTCCTGCCCTGATTGCCTCAGCAGGACAGGCTCAGTCAGGCCCAGTCCCCAAGGTGGGGGCATTGGGAACACAGGGAGGAGAGGGCCGTGGACTGGGGGAACAAGGGAAAGGAGGGGTGCCAGGGAAGCCATGGAGCCTTCCTCACAACAAGATGAGGGCACGAAGAAGAAACAGCCCAAGAAACCTGTTCCTGAGATCTTGCCGAGGCCTCCCAGGGCCTTGTTCTGCTTAACTCTCCAGAACCCTCTAAGGAAGGCCTGCATCAGCATCGTGGAGTGGAAATATCCTTTTTAGTACCCACGGAAGTGGGGGTGGGGAGGGAGTGGGAGGCAGGGGAAGGGTATGGGGTTGTCATAGACTTCAGATGCTTAGCACCCGGGTGGCTGGGCTTTTGAAAGGGGGTTAACCCGCTACCTCAGACTGGCACAAGGAATAAGGCAGGCAGGAAGGTCTCCACCACAATGGAAAGAGGAGCTTCCTGGGTCATAGGTGACAGCCAGAGAGAGCAACTGATCATCATGGGAAGGGCCTGTGCTCATGGGAGCTATTTCTAGGTGTGTCCAAGTCTCTATCATCAAGGGGGTAGCACTCAAGGTTTTGAATAAGAAGATGAAAGAGGTAGAAGCTCCTGAGGACATCCTCAATGGGCGGGGGGGAGGGGCAGGAGAGAGTGACAGTCCAGGGACTATTTCCACTGACTCAGGTCTCAGTCACAAATGGAGCTGGTGAAACAGTCGAAGGAAGGCCTACTTAGTGGTTCCTGGATTCTGGCAAGCACACTTGGGTGTTTTCACCCAGAAGCAGTGCCCTGAGACAGGGCCTGGATGTCTCCCTGGGTTTGCACAAGTTCTGGAAGAAGAATGATGAGAATATCTGGGTTATTTGGGGAAAGGAGGGGCTGCCGAGAGGAGGCCTATGCTGAGCGGGTTCTGAGAGTCGGGAATATCTGAAATATTTTTGACATACTCTGCAAGAGTAGGATGCCATCAGCTGTTCCTGTGGGAAATGGAGAATGAGGAATAACTGGGAGGGTGAGGGAGATATGGAGACACGGAGAGACGGCCAGACTGGGGTCAGGCCTCACTCCCGTAACTGCACTGTGTCAGATAGTGTCACCTCCAGACCCCTCCCTCCTTGCCTGTCTCCCATGAGAGCACAGCTTCCCCTGGCAGGCTCTCCCTTTTCTCCATTCTGTACTCCGCTGAGCCCACTCCACCCATAGATCCATTCTGTGCCATCCCCATCCCCTGTCTCTACACTGAAATTGCTGGGAAGCAAATGGGGTTCTTACCCAAAACTATCTACATCGCACGCCTCTGCTCTCCGCCCCAAACGATACACCAAGGATGCTGTCTCGATTTGCCTCCCTCACACCTAGAAAGACGGGATTCTGGAGCATTCCTTTGAAAATGGCTGCTGGGGGCAGGGATGTATCTGGGAAGGGGATGTGGGAGTGCAAGCCCACACACAAGAGTGTGTGTACAACGCTTTGAAAACCAAGCTTTCCTCACCATTTTCCATCTTTTCCAGTCCTATTGAAGATACATCAACCCCAAGTCTCCCTGGCCATTTTGGGAGATAAGCCCTCACAAATCATTGTGTGGCCTGATTATCTCTTAGCAGTACAGTAATAAATTTGTAGACTGGCCTTCAGCAGGCTCTTCTCCTCAGCCCTACACATCCCACTGACGACTCGGTGAGCTCTCCTTAACCCTGGTGCCAGACCCTTCGAGACCATCATCTTGCTCACCATCTTTGCCAACTGTGTGGCCCTGGCAGTGTACCTACCCATGCCTGAAGATGACAACAACACTCTGAACCTTGGCTTGGTAAGGAAGCCTTCCCTTCCTTCCTCTTGCATTCCTCAGCCCCAGGCAGGGAGTCACCCTAGCGGCTGGGAGTCACCCTAGGGACTGGGAGTCACCCTAGGGGCTGGGAGTCACCCTAGGGGCTGGGAGTCACCCTAGGGGCTGGGAGTCACCCTAGGCTTTGCTCTGGGGGAGGATGCTGGTGCCTTGGCTCCCTGACAACACAGACCAATGTCCTCACACTGCCGTGCTGCTCAGTGGCCCTGCAGCTTTACCAGACTGAACCTGTTCAGCTCAGTTCCACAATATCCATCAGTCAGTGATCACCGTGCCAAGCACCCAACAGGCCAAACTCACAGACCTTTTCCAAGTACTTCCCAAAGTAGTAGCAGTTGACAGATGTGGAAGCTGGTCCACAGCAGTGTGATCCAGGGATGCTGAACACTTCCCTCCTCCCCTGGATAGACTCCTGAGTGCTGCTCCCCCTGAGCTCACCTACTGGGGGTATGTGATATAGAAATCTGCAGAAAGGGCTTTGCGGACCTGAGGTATCACTCTCTCCTACCCTGTCACCAGCAACACAGCAAGTTCTGCACTGAGTAGTTTTCATTGTTGAATTATTGAATCTCCACAGCAATCTCCACGATATAATATTAGATTCTCTGAAAATTAATTACTGAATAAATACAACAAAACCTACCCTTGATAGCCCAAAGAATTGGAATTTAGGTACATCATGTAGGATTGCCCCCATATAAGCTTTCTTTTTAAAAAAGATTTATTTATTTATTATGCATACAATGTTCTGTTAACATGTATACACCAGAAGAGGGCACCAGATCTCATTATAGATGGTTGTGAGCCACCATGTAGTTGCTGGGAATTGAACTCAGGACCTCTGGAAGAGCAGCTAGTGCTCTTAACCTCTGAGCCATCTCTCCAGCCCCCCATATAAGCTTCTAATAGGGCCTCACACCGTGGTCTTTCTGACTTTGGAACTTGTTCTTATCTTTATGTTTTAAAAAAAATTTTATTTTCAAATTAAAAAAATTATTTTCAAATTATATGTATGCATGTGTGATATGTGGGCATTTACAATGTCCTCAGAGGCCAGAAGATGAAATTGGATCCCCTGGAACCAGAGTTAGTTATGAGCTGGGTGCTGGGAACTGAACTCAGGTCCCCTGCAAGAGCAGTACTTAATTTAAATCACGGAGCCATCTCTCCAGGCCCTTCTATTGACTGCCTCCCCAAGGTCGTAAACAGAATGAAGACTCCTAGAGAAGTCCACTTCTAGAGAAACAAAGAACAGCCTGGGGATGGTACTCAATGATGGGATACTTGCTTAGCATCCAAACCTAGGGTTCCACTCTGGTACCACAAAAACTAACGAACAGGACAGGACAATGGAATTCCATTCTCTAGGGCTTTCCCCTGTCCTGGAACCACAGGGCTTGGAGACAGGAGGCCCATCTGCATGCATCCAGAGCCAGAAAGAAAAGGGTGTATCTCTGCCTCTCCTCAGGCTGGTTTCCATGGTAATCTATTCTGAACTGGGGAGAAGTTGGGTGCTAAATGTATGCTTGCTGGGAATGGAAATAACTGAGTTCCTAGAACGAAGCAAGAGTGGTTGCAAATAGGGCAGGGCCAGTGTGGCTTCTGCTACCAGGGAAGCTGCTGTGTGCAGCCAGGGCCTTCTACAAGAGAAGCTCAATTATCCACGTCCATAGATTTAGGGAGAGTTCTTGGTCCACCCCACACCTTGTGACTTCGTGATGTGGTTCCAAGTGCACTTT